TACAAGGCCTATGTTTCATGTGATGTCCTTATGTTATCTGTGCTACGGGAGAATTGACAATTTCACACTCAAGGTAAGGCGTAAGTATGTTTTCTCACCCGAAATGTTTAAAAAAACAATTTTCCACCTACCGTTAATATTTTCCCGTTAACTTTTTATTGAAGAAGGACATAATGGTAACTTTAGTTTATTTATATTTTTTATTAAAAAAATATAAAAAATTCCCTAACCCGTTTTATCTTTCTTCCCCACACCGCCCCAAAATCCTCTATGTCTCCCTCCCTTCAACCTCCCCACCTCCCCTTCCCCCCACACCATCGGTTCCTAAACTCACCCAATCTAACCTAATCTCACTCCCCTAGTCCTTACAGCCCTTGGAATTTGACAAGGACAAGTTGGAGATATTGAAAGAGACGGCGAAGCGTGCGGAGGTTTGTTGTTGGGCGGCGACAACTTTGCGAAGGAGGCAGACATCATTGAGGTCACTGGAGAGGGATCTCCATCGCCGATCTCCATCGCCTCTCTCCTCCATTCGGCCACACCTGGTAGGATGCGATTAAGGCCAAATCACACATACCAGAGTGCAACTAAGGCCGAATCGCACTTGGTTAGGTGCGATCAGTGGCGGATCCAATTAATGACTTGTGGGGACTTGAGTCCCCACTCAACTTTTGAAAAAAGTCCACATCTTTTATTTATTTAAATTTTACCCTTATAGAATTATGAGATTTTGGAAACAGCCCCCATGGTTAGTTTGGATTTTATTTTTGTAAAACCCTATTTTTAATCCTAGTATATATATTTCATATTTTTTATGATTTTTATTTTTATGCAAGAGTATCGGTTAGTTTTTAAAAGTTTTATTAGAAGTGAAAATGAAAGGAATAAAAACTGTTGGGTTTGCATTTAACTGAGGGAAGAAATCTGAGCATTTTTACATCACAGAGCTAATGTGGTGAGGTCATGGTGAGAATAAGAGAATCTTGGGTAGTTTTATAATTCAAAGAAGTTGTTTTATATATAAACTGGGTTGTTCGCAAAAAATAAAGAAAAAGAGAGAAAAACCCATAAAGAAGAAAGGAAGAAGAAGCAAAGGAAAAGGAAAAAGAGAAGAGAGGGAAGAATGGGTTTGGTCAGTTTTATCCATTAGATTTTTCTGCACTTGAGTTGATGGTACTTGAGAACCAGATTGAGATTTATGTTATTAACATACGTTCTTGTGATAAATTTGCTGAGTTATAAGGAATTTTTGATTTGGTTAAGAATTTAGTTTGGTTTAAAAAAGAAATTTTGCATGCGTTGGTGTATAAGCTTGTGAAAGTTGCATTGGTTTTATCAGTTGCNGTTGCTGCCCAAGCTCCCTTGCGAATGTAATGAAGCGGTGCTGGGACGCTAACCCTGACAAACGACCAGAGATGGATGAGGTTGTGTCCATGTTGGAGGCCATTGACACATCAAAGGGTGGAGGCATGATTCCTGTAGATCATCCTCAGGGTTGTTTCTGTTTTCGCAGATATAGAGGACCTTGAACTAGTTGCCCTTTAAATTTGAGCAAAGATGATATGTTTGAGATATGGACTGCAAGTTTCGAAATCCAAGCTGTATTTAATTCAATCAAAGGAATGGCACCTAAGAGCTGATGGTATACAAAACTTTGGAGGCTATAGACTAGGAGGAAATCCCTGATAGTTGTTTGTTCTGGATAATGCATTCTGTAAAGCTTCTCTTTCTTTCTTCTTGCCCTTTGTTTAAGAAAACAATTACAGCATGGATTGGCCGGACACACTCTCTGAGATTTGATAACCAATTAATATGATCATGAGCTTCATCTATCTTATTTGTGGTTAGTAAAATGCCCTTCTGAATATGATAAGCAATTTCTTGGGTGATGATATTTGGTCGTTTGACGTTTAGAATGGGGATCAATATTCTGTTTAAAATTTATCTAACAATTAAAATGATCAGCAATTTCTATGCAGTGAAACAAAATTCCATTTCCAATGTTTTGTTAAAAATAGCATTCATTAGTTGGAAGTGAGCCAAGAGAGTGCTTATAAAAGAAATGATGAAATTGTCACCATTTAAAGTTCAAAAGAATACATTGTCGATGTGAATGCTACAATTCTCTCACAAGTGAAAGATTACAGAATATTATTGAGCAAACAATAAACTAAAGTTTGAAACAAATAAAGAAACAGTCTTCAATGATGAACCTTAGTAGAAAGTGACTAATATTATCCAATACCGGTGACAAAACGGTCTAGCCAGCAATCTTGTAGCTTGGATTGACTAGATTTTCCAGGCCAGAAACTACTTGAATCGACTCTATAACATCACCAACCTTAAGATCAGCCAAAAAGTCCTCGTTTTCTGTCACATAACCAAACACTGCATACCGGCCATCCAAAATATTGGCATTACTGGGAGTTAATTCACTTTCTTTCAGTAGCCAGAACACCTGGCTTGAGGCAGAATTATTCTCAAACTCCTGAAAAGTATTAAATTCAGGCGATTTCTAATTAGCTTTCAAACTAATACTTGGATACGTATGGAAAAAAAGTATTAAAATTCAAATTCTCACCTCTCTGGCCATGGCCATTGTTCCAAATGCATTGAATGGAAGCTTAGTTTGAGCCTTGTAGAGACCAAGCTCCTGTCCAGACACAAGTCATATTGAATTTCAGAAAGGCAAAGCAAAAATAAATTCTCAAGGGAATTAGGAAAACTTCTAATTGTAGAAGACAAAAAAGGTGTTATGAAGACTGGTAGATGGTGAAACTTTTCAATGCCTTAACATATCCTCTCAGAAAGACAGCTAGCATTCCACAGTCAACACTTCTGAATTATAACAGAGTATAAGGCTTTGGCATAATATATTAATGCAGAAAGAATTGAGAGGCTTACTTCCAAGGTTTCTCCATAAAAGGGTGATTTCTCCCCATCCACCATGATTTCTAATGGTATTGTCCGGGTTTTTTCTGTACTAGGATCAATGAAACCCTCAGCAGGGCCTTCTGGATCTCCAGTTTGAACAACAAACCCATCCGCTGCAGCCAATACAAAAAAGGCATTTATTAGTGTTGTGGCCACATAAATGAAAATTAAAATTTGCATCTTCAGACAATTCATAGCTCACAGCAATTAGAAAATTGGTCAAGTCTACAGTGAGAGAAGTTGTTAAATAAAAGGCGAGCTACGATGGGCAAGACAATCATTCAGATGAATCCAATTACATGCATGGCATCTAAGTACAAGTTTAGCAACCAGGTTATTCATCAATCTTGATACCAAATTTCTCTGATTAAAAACATTACATGATGGGATGTTTATGGCAATTCATGTTAAAAACATTTTCTCTTCTGAAGGCAACAGAAAAATTTAACATGCTTTTTTATTAGCATAGAAAATAAATATCAACACTTCAACAGCAGAATCAAACTAACTTAATATAAACCCTTTACCTCTTTGGATTTCCATGCCATCATAGAAGTTCCTTTCTACTAAGTCCACAAAATTTCCAGCAGTTACCGGCGCATTGTAACCATCTAGAACTATCCGGAATACACACTCATCTAAATTAGGATTGTCCTTGACCTTGACCTTCATATCAACAGCAGCTCTCCCCTTTAATAGAGGCATACTTTGGTATTCTTCGGGCACTTCGTATGGGAAGCCATCCACCATATCCTCTTCAACACTGCAGAAACCCAATGCCCCAGGAAGATCTCAGCTGCAGTCAATGACAAGGTATATATGAGAGTTTATTCTAAGAGGATTCACTTCTATTAGTCCTCCCAACTTTTTTGTTCAAAATAGGATACAGTTCTTATGGAAGGAAGACATTGTCAATTTTCATTAGTAATCTAGTTTCATGGGACGGACCTCTACAACATGAACAATGTCAGCACAATATTTTTTACTGTACTAACGACTGCTTGGTACCGAAGGAGACTGGTGATTGGATTGAAGAAAACATAATGATCCTAGTTCATAACTTGTGAGTCAACTAATAAAGAAAGAGAATTCTAGATAAATTCCCCATCTTAGTCACAGAACCTCATATTTGACTGAAGTGCACAAGTTAATGCCCTTTCAAAGAAGGAAGAAAACCCTGGGGATAAAATCTGATTTATATTATCACCATAGATATTTAGCTTAACCTAAATATGAGCAATTTAGAACAAAATATGAGTTTTCAGCAACAATTTTTCTAATGTTTTTTTCAAGCCTCTATGTTATTGATGCAATAGAGTGATACTCACCCGCCAACATAATTAAGCAGCTCCTTCTGTTTAGGTGCAACAGCATCTCTATTCCTATCCTCCACAATCTGTTGTAACTCATCCATTCCAACTTCCAATTTGTCAAGTAGTTCAAGCCCATGCTCCTTCTTCGATTCAGCTAAACCCGTTACAATCAAACTCTTACCTTGTTTAAGTGCTCGTGATGCCTGCCTCACATTCTACACATTTCACACACAAAAATAAGCTTTTTTTTTAAGCCACAATTAATTATCCCAACTATAAAAATAAAAGTTGAAATGCTTACTCTCTCAACAGAATCAAGAGCTTTAACCCCAGCAACCTTAAGACTGTCTGTAATATCTTCAAGTGGTTTTTGTACTTCCCTCACAGCTTTATTGTTAATAGGCAAAGCGTATCTCAACAATGCACCCGGATCCTTAATTGGCGGACCAGAGATTAACACAGACAAATCAGGCAACGCCAAGTTATTTGCATTTACATTTACATTTACATTTGCATCAGCAAATGAAGGTGCTCCTGTAATCAATCCGACAGCTAAAGCTAAAGAAATAGCGCACTCCTTCAATTTCTGCTTAAAAAATGCAACTTAGTTATAGTCCTTACATAAAACTAAACAAGACCCATCTAATAAATCATGGAAAATGTACTTACCTGACATGGGTTACGATTAAAAGAACAAGTAGTCGGAGTAAAACGCTGAGTCAACCGATCATTATTGTTGGTGGCAGTGGTGTGAGTTGTTGCAAAACGAACACGGTTGTTGGGTAATTTCGGAGTGATTAAGTTACAGGAAATAATAGCTGCCATAATGAAATTTTGAAAGCTTGTTTCAAAGAGGTAGGAAAGGCATATGATTGATTTGAATTAGAATGAGAATGGGAATGAAATGGAAATGGAAATGTGAGGAGAGTTGAGAGGGAGATAATTGGTGATAAGATTTTGGTGACAAGGAAATAAATATAAGGATATGCTGCAAATAAAGAAGGGTCGTACTCACTTCAGTCCTCAGGCTTTGGATAAGATTACAGATTTTCGGATTTTAGAAACGTTATGGCTGCCGGCCCTTCATCAAAATCTTCAAGATCCGATTAAATATACTTTGGGCTAATCTCAAAAAACACCCTATATTTTTAAAAAGCACATTCATGTGCTAAGCGTGGGATATTATAAAACTGCCCTTGTCTTTTCATCAATTATCAAACACCACTGCTGATTTTAGTGGTTTCTCATTTTTTTTTTTTTTTTTCAGGCAGTAGTTGATAGCAATGTTCTGAAAATCGGATCGGACCGTTTCATCGGATCAGTTCGATTGAGAGCCGGCGGTATCTTCGGTCCAGTATCTTCTAAAAACTGACATTTTCAGTTAAATCGGATTGAGCCGCGGTTGGACTACCGGAATAGTGTCGAGTCGCGGTCCAATCGCAACTCAATCCTACTGGATTCCAGCATCGTTCGACGGAGAAAACACCACCATTCGACTTGACGACATCTCCACGATAAAACCCATCCATTTTCAGTGGCCATCGTCCAGCCTTCGTCGCTCGCCGTCCACCTAAAGTTCACGCGACTGTCGGACTTCGTTCTTGATTCTGACAATTTCCAGCGCCGATGGAACTCCCTAACACCACCATCAGATTCGCCAGAACCTATACATCAAAAGCCCCATGATTCCAACTTCGATTGGTCATCGATCGTCGTTGCCACCACCACTCACCAGTCTCTTCGCGTGATAGGGGTGTTTTAGAAAGATTTCAAACCTTAAGAGAGTATTATAGGGGTGTTTTTGATGAATTTCAAATATTTAGGGACTAAATTTTTTTTACAGAAAACGGTCCAACCGACCGATCCAATCGATCAAACCATTCAAACCGAAAAATAGACCTTTGAATGGGTCATAGTCCGGTCCGATTTTCGAAACATTGGTTGGTAGACAGAATTGTCATTTGTTAGAGGAAAAATATTATGCTGGAGTAAAAGAATTTTAAAACCCCCTAATATAGATGTTATTTCATTATTTAATAAAGAGTATATCGATCGTTTTGAATTTTGTTAACAATATAAAAAAGTTTATGCTTAATAATATTTTAACATTATAATTAGTATTATGAATCTATGATAATTTTACTATTACATAAAAAAATTTATGCTTAATATTAAGAAACCCAATTTTGAAATATAAAGAAAATAGAAAACACAAAACGATTTGAAGAAAAGAAGTGAAAGAATTGAACCAATAGCAAATCTGACGTTGAGAAGAGTGATAGTTTAAAGAAATCTGGTTCCACGCAATAACTGCTTGGAAGCAATTCCAGGCATCAAACTTATGGGAGCAAACGACATATTCCCACCCAAGGTTTAGCTAAAGCCTAAGTTAATACTCCTGGTTTCATTTATTCCAAATACCCACCCGTAAATTAACACAGTTAGTGACTGTTGGATTCTGACAGATGCTATCACTAAATTGCCCTTCACCCCATTTCAAACCACCATGGCACCACCCGAGCCAGCTAAACCACCACCACAATCCATTCCAAACCAACCCATCCCAAACCACTACCATAGCCATCCAAACTATACCCCATTCCAAATCCCACAGCCGGCCAAACCACCACCACCACATCCCATTCCAAACCACCCCATCCCAAAACCACCACAGCGTCCAAACCACCACCATAGTCAGCCAAATCACCCCATTCCAAACCCAATAGCAACCACCAAAAATCACATAATTTCAATAAGAAAAACAAAAAAACATAAAACAAAAAACAAAAGCAAAAACAAAAAACAAAATAGAAACCGTAGGGAGAGGGGGCTTAAATCGGTGTTGAAAGGTGAGAAATCAGGAACGGAAAGTATGGGGTTATTGGAGAGGGCTCTTTGATGAGTTAAATGGTGGGCTTGATTAAGATTTTGGTGATGGGGCTGCCGGAAAGAGGTTGGGGGAGTGCGACAGTTGAGCTGAAGGATGATGGTGAAAAGGGTAGTCAAGGTGGTCGGGAGGGTAGTGGGTTGGGATGGTGAGGCGCCGGGGAGGAGGAGGTGTAGAGGGAAAAAGAAGAAGAGGGGAGGAGGAGGCGGAGATAAGGAAGAAAGGGAAAGGGAAGAGGAAGAATATGGGAGGAGGAGGCGTACTGGGGAAAGAAATGGGAAGGGAAGAGGAAAATAAAAAGACCAATTTGCCCTTTTACTGTTAAAATAAAGGAAATGGTGTTAATTTAAGGGTGAGTATTTGGAATAAATGAAACCAAGAATATTAGCTTGGGCTTTCGCTCAACCTTGGGTGGTTATATGTTGTTTAGTCAACTTATGGCAACAAAAATAACGACATCTGTCGGATTGCTACTCTCACTAGAACTGAACTTCCTGTTTTCTTCATTTAATTTTCCATAGGGAAAGAGCTCCTCTTTCAAGCTCTCCATTTTTTTTTTTAATTATTTTTAAAGAGTAAACATTTCATTCTCCTCACTTATTTAAAAACTATTTTCAAATTAAAAAAAATATAGAAAACAACTTTTTTATCATTTTCCNCCGATTACAATGGGGACAACTCATTACGCTAAGGCTAAGGCTGGTCGGGGGGATCCTTCGAGCCAGAACCCCCTGCCTGGTCGGGTCCTTGAGCGGCCGCGGCAGCCTGGTCGTCCTCCTCGGCCATGATCCGCAAGGTCGCCTGCCAGCCTTCCGGGAGGTCGGACATGTCCAAGTCTGGATTCCTTGCTCGCAAGGAGTAAATAGCCCCGATTGCCCAGTCTGCGGCCTTTTCCTCCATCTCCTCTAACTGATTCTGCATTTCTTCAATCAGAGAAGCGACTCTTTCCCAACTCTCCTGGAGTTCGGCCTCAAGAGCTCGCCTTTCATGTTCGAAGGCCTCCCTATCTTCTTCAGCTCGCTGAGCCCATGCGAAGGTCACCTGGATCTCCTGGTCCTTCTCTCCGACCTCCTTAGAGAGCCTGGCGGTTGTCCTTTGAAGTTCCTTGACTTCCTCCGCACGTCGATCGAGCTCCGTCTTTTGGAAGTCCACTGTTCGTAAAGCAGCGTCCTTTTGGTTTAGATACCTGTTCGCCGCTTCGAACGCTTGAGTTCTTTCCGCTTCAACGGACTCCAAGCTCTGCTTCAGCTTTGCGACCTCTTCCTGCAGGTCGCTTGTCCCCTTGGCGGCCCCCAGCCGCGTCTTTTCCATGGACATCCTCATCGCGAGCAACGCCTGCGAGCAAGATATGAATTAGAAATAAACCAGAATAAAATTTCAAGTACAGCTCATTTACCTTGCTCAGATGCTGGAATGACGTGGTCATCAGGTCGTCGCCCGTGTTGGCAAATTCGTCGTACGACTCCGATAGCTCGCACTCGAGCAGGCCATAAACTATTGGCTGCAGGTATTCGGGCAGACTCCCCAATGAGTCTAGAACCGGCGCGTCCTTCGCCTTGCCAACAGCGACCGCCTCGCCCAAGGGCTCCTTGCCCGACCTCCTGGGTTCCTGGCGCGACCTCAGAGGCTGTTCCTCAGATTCGGTCTCTGACTCTTCGGGCTGAATCTGCTTCCTCTTCTTTGACCTCTGGGCCGGAGCCTTCCTCTTTGGGCGAGCAGTTGGCGCCTGAGCGGCCTGTTCCGTCCTGGTCGCTTCTTGCACAGGACGGGGCTGGGAAGCCGGGACTGTTCGCACCGGCTGTGCCGGGATAGGACGAGCAGCTTCGGCCGCCCTCTCTCTCCTCGATCGAGGGAAGACAAATGGTGCTCGGCGGGGCTGCCCGGACTCCTTTGGGGGCATGGTTTCTGCATTTAAGTTCGTTAGTAAGCAAACTTATTCTACGACCAGAAAGGAACCGGTATAACTTACCTTCTGGGGGTTCTAACGACGCCTTGTCGCTGAAAAAACCGTACTTCCGCAAGTTCGCGGTTGTCACAAGCTTCCTCGCGTCCCGGCTCTCCTCGTCCAGTACTCCGAAAGATACAAGCCTGTCTGGGTCGGCGAGTAACGCTTGCTCGGTCGTTCTATTAACTGCAAAAGAAAACAGGTCGTTATTATGGGTCAGGCGAGCAGATAATGAACCCAGCGAAAGAAAACCTACTTGGATCCTGAAAACGGCAGTAGCCGTTGTAAAAGAAAAAGAAGAACTTTGTCTCGTAGGCCCCCGCATTGCTGAGATAGCTGTGTATCCCCGCAGCAATGGTAGGTCACCGAGACAAATAGTACGAGTCCTTGTCCCTACTCTTCTTAAGATAGTAGGCGACGCCGAGCTCCACCGCCGTTGGCTCTCCCAAGCTGCTCTCGCAGCACGCGATGTACATCGCGACAGTGATGACGTACGCGTTTGGCGTCAGCTGCATCGGTGCGATCCCGAAATGATCCAGGACCGACCTGATGAAAAGATGGAAGGGAATCCTCCCTCCACCCTTGAAGATCTCTTTAGAGATCGCGGCAAGGCCATCTGCTTTGTGCCGCGACGGCCTAGTGTGGTCGAGGAACACCTCCGCGCGGATGTCAAATTGCCTCTTTATTCTATTATATTCCTCGGTGGTGAGAACCGAGTAGACATCGAGGGCTGCNACTCTGCCATCAGAAGCTACCTGGAGAGGTTCGACAATACTCTCCAGACGGTCAACCAGAGGTTGGACCGTTTGGACCAAGGCATGTCATCTACGATAGCTGGAGCGGTACAACCGCCAAAGACGCCTGCAGGTTGCGCGAAATCGCGACAAAGGGCGATAGCCCGTGCCGCGAGCACTGCAGCGCGTAAGCGCAAGGGTAAGCAAGTGGCAAAAAGTAAGCCTACGGGCTCCTAAGGGCCAACGAATACAAAAGGCGCCCCGAGCAGGGTGTCGCCAAAGCTGAGACTCGGTGAAAAAGTGAATTCTGAGCTATCCCATGCCACGTCGCAGGCAAACCCAAGCAAAAATACTGGGCGCGATGATTCCGATCACCACCAGCAGAGCGATCCTGATCGTTATGCGGGTGGCCTCCACACCTCGCAGGGCGGTTCGTACCACCGCGAGGGTCATGAAAGTGCCC